GCAGTAACACGTTAACATTTCGGGTAACGCATTAATATGAATGCTTGCTTTTACCTGCAAAAAGAAATTCCCAATCCCATAACAAGTCTCAGCATCCCTGAACTCCAATTAAAACTCCAGTGACTATACTTGCGAAAATTCCTGCCTGCAATTCTTTATGCTAAAACCGTTCGTTAATATGTTAAGGTAAGCGCAGTTGTATAAATTATGATAAGGTATCATCCTACCGTTCTTCGGTAGGGGGAGCTTGAGAAGTCTACTTGCAACTCTACCCTCTGTAGGTCCAGACGCCTGCCAGTGAATATCTACTTGTGAAGGTCGGAGCTGCCAAATATATCATTGTTTCGGCTGCATGATTGTATCTTTATATTAGCTTAAGAATAATCGTCTTCTGTGAGCATGAGCGAAAGTTATTTTTCATCAAGACGAGTAGGGGTATTTCTACATGTATTTAAGATACAGACAGTATCAGAGTCTCCAGATCAGAGGACTCTTGCTTCTACAATAATTAACATATCCATCCCCAAGCACAACAATATATTATTGTGACGGTTGCATCGCAAGTCTTGTGGTCACAAAATCTTTTACCGGCATGGATGTCATCATTTGTCAATTTGAATTTTTTCATCCGATGATAGAGGAACTGAACTGGTCTAGTGCTCTATTATTTTCGTTGCAATATTTGAATTTTTCAGTTTGCGAACTGTTAATGAAATGCTTTAATTACGAATTTATTCTTTGCCGTCTCTCTGTTGTAATGAGCTTTAGTTTGGAGAAGACCAAGTTTGTCTCTTTATTTTACGCATTGTGTAAGATCGTGAGTATAGAACTTATGTCTGGTGATTCAGCTGGTTCGCTCTATTGATGAAATTTAACGAGAAGATAAAAATCCATCATTGTACAAGCATGGCTTATCTGCTCTCTAAAGCTAGAAAGGCAGCACAACCTTCCGTTGCGGAAAACTTGTTAAATAACCGCCGAAACTTTTTTGCTGATAACATGCAGGAACATAATTATCACATGCGCGGAGCTTGTGCCAACATGCACCAGCATCATCATGCGGTGCCCCGACGCCTGCACCAGCATCATGCGGTGCCCCGACGCCTGCACCAGCATCATGCGGTGAAATATTATGTAGTGTAGTGTACACTACATTGTATATACCATACTATATAATATACTTCCCTACTATACTATACAATACCTTACCATGCAATACAATAATATACAATACTATGCAATACTTTACCATACAGTCCATACTATACACACAATACAAAGTCTGTCCATGCATCATGTCACGATGGGATTCCTTGTGACATAAATCGATTGATTGAGTACCCACGATGATCGTGTACGTTTGTTACATCACGCGTACGTTTGTTACGTCACGCGTACGTTTGTTACGTCACGCGTACGTTTGTTACGTCACGCGTACGTTTGTTACGTCACGCGTACGTGTGTCACGTCACGCGTACGTTTGTTACGTCACGCGTACGTTTGTTTCGTCACGCGTACGTTTGTTTCATCACGCGTACGTTTGTCACGTCACGCGTACGTTTGTCAAAAAAGAATCGTGTTGGTTACGAAAAATATAAAGTAGAAAGAATAAATACAAATGGTAGTACTTACGCTCTATTTTCTTGTCTATGATTGGTGGATTTTGCTTGATAGGCCGTCAATGATTGGCTGATGAACTTACGATCTCTTAACTTTTTTTGAAGGTATGTGCCCTGGAAAGAGCTGAACTTGTGTCTAAAAATAGATCATTAGTTGCAAGTTAATAATGATAATGAAAAAAATTAGAACAACAGCAAGGAAGTAACGTGAAAAGTAAGGCTATTATTTTTGATCGAATTTTATTATTGAAGTGAATCTATTAACGAACTAATTAATTAGCAGTAACTAACGGCACTCATCCACCAAATTGGAGACATCGCTTGGTTAGTTCAGTAACTGCTAACTGACAGAACTTCTCCAACAAATCTCAACTAACTTCGCTTTTTTGCTTTAATAACTGCTAACTGAAGTCACTTAAAACTGCATCTCACTTAGCATCGCTTTGTCAGCATCGCAACAGGTAAGTAACATTACTCTTCAATCGAAGTCAACTAACATAGCTTTGTCTGTATGTTTTGCACAGCGCGGCTCTGCCAACGTTTATTGTTTTATTTATATATTATATATATTATCACGGGTTTATGGACACGCAAGCGTTGTCTGTGGCAGGATCACTGCCACTCATTAGCGCGACGACTTGCACGGTATTTGATCCAGCCACTTGCGTCTCTTGATGGGGTCAGATAATCGAGTCAAGTATTCTTAATTGTGCAGATTAAATTTTCAACTGTTATATTAATAGAATTTCTACTGAAATTGATTACAGTTAAATTATTACTAACAACTAATTTAACAGTGCAGATAGTTCAAACCAAATTTCAGAAATTATCATAAATAACGAGGATTTTTGACAAGGAAATAATGTGGAATGTTTCTCTCATTGTCTTTAGTCAGCATTGCTCATGGGTGATGATCAAACCATTGAATATTTAATTCAGGTTTATTCATTAACATTTCTTCACATTTTTCTTGTTGGCAACAATTTAACCAGTTAAATTTGATGTAAATGGCGAACTTACGAGCAGAGTCAATTCAGCTAAACAACGTAATTTGTATATCATATATCAGTTGGTTTTAGGACATCAAGCTCACACCATGCAGAGACAAGCGAGCAGCACGTACGCACGTCCGCTCGGCAGCGCCACCTGCCATCAACTGAGGCACATGTTCACTGCCACCTGCCATCAACTGAGACACCTGTTCACTGCCATCTGCCACCAACTGAGACACCTGTTCACTGCCATCTGCCACCAACTGAGACACCTGTTCACTGCCATCTGCCAACAACTGAGACACCTGTTCACTGCCATCTGCCAACAACTGAGACACCTGTTCACTGCCATCTGCCACCAACTGAGACACCTGTTCACTGCCATCTGCCAACAACTGAGACACCTGTTCACTGCCATCTGCCNTAATGCCCCACCAAGCGTCGGAGAACAGAGTCAGCAGAGGTCTGAGATCTGAGTAATGGCTTCAGAGTGGACACTCTGATAACATCTTAATGTCAGAGTTGCAGCAGACAGGGAGCTGAGTAATGGCTTCAGAGCGCAGGCCGCCACCCAAGACAGGTACTCCACAGGACGATTGAAACCTCCCATTTATGAGACAAGTCTGCCATTGAGGTCGTGGTATTTATGGTATTTATGGCCATTAATAACAATCTGTTTAATTCGTGAAGCTCCGAGAAAAAATCCACTCGGAATGAACCCAAGACTACACGAATATCTTTTTAAATAAAGTAACATCAGAATTAAACGGCCGTTGCAAAAACGAATACAAAACGATGCTTCATCATAAAAGTTCAATGTCATTAATCCCCTTCTTACTTACTATTCAAAAGGACCTGAATTATGTCATTCCGGTAAGAATAACGTGTGAATTGCAACCCATGAATTATGTCATTCAGGTAAGAATAACGTGTGAATTTCAACCCTTTGTTATCCTGGACGATTTATGGACAGCGACGAGCCAGCCAAGGTGACGTTATGCACGATGTAGCGGCGCTCGCGTGTTGCGTTCAGCCTGAAATACCCCAACCCTGCCCGGTAATGATGACATTTATAATGGTGAAGTCCATGCTTTACAATACAATGAGACCTCATCGTCAACTTCTTTGTAGGTCAGAGGTCATGCGTTAAATTTTTTTTAATTACATAATTAGCACTTTTGATTATAAAGAATGATTTTATTGTTGACAATTGACTTTATTATTTAATTACATAATTAATTTTGATTAAAAGGAATAATTTTATTATTTACAATTGACTCACAACTTTACAAACAAATGAAGCATATTGCAAAATGATTGAATAATTTGAATTTTCGTTATTTTGACTGCAAGTTTCCGATAATAACTTGCTGTAAGTATTGTTCATAATCCGAAACCTGTCGAACAATATCAAGCTTCTGCCACCACAATACAGAGCACTGCTGCCACCACAATACAGAGCTGCTGCCACCACAATACAGAGCTGCTGCCACCACAATACAGAGCTGCTGCCCCGCATACACGGCGCAGTCCCGCATACACGGCGCTGTCCCGTATACGTGACGTGATGGTTGACGAGAGCAACTTCATTCTTTCAGAAAAAAAGTGGTTGTTTCTGCTATCTATTTAACCATAAGCTCGTGACGTATTTTCTATGGTCCTTTTATATGTTGGATCTTTCTCTTATATTAGAATAGAAGTGTCGGCGTTGAAGAAATAGGCCCGTGGCCTGTTGCCGATTCTTGAACTTTTCGTGACTTGATTCACAAGGGATCCGGCCTTTATGCCACCACAATACAGAGCTGCTGCCACCACAATACAGAGCTGCTGCCTCCACAATACCGCGTCATTATCAGTTCTGTTCCATGTACACGTTGGTGTCCCGTATAAAAGGAGTAGTCCCGTATACATGGCGCAGTCCCCTATACACGCTGCAGTCCCGCATACACGGCGCAGTCCCGTATTCTCGCTACTGTCCCGTATACGTGACGTGAAGGTTGAAGAGAACAACTTCACTCTATCAGAAAAGAAGTGGTAGTTTCTGCTGTTTATTTCAACCCTAAGCTCGTGACGTATTCTCAATTGTCCTTATATATATTTGATCTTTCTCTTATATTAGCGCAAATAATATAAAAGAATCGTATTAACTACACAATGATGTTTTGTTATTAACTACACCGTTACTTGCAGTGACGATGATGATGTTAGAGCCACTATTGCAAGTAGCGACATGTATGAGACATCGTTTCCAGCTAAAACACATTATAAATCTTAATTACTTTCACGGTAACCTTTTATTTATGTAATTTTTTCATAGAAAATAAATAATACTAAACATTTATAAAGCTTCACCGACAAGAAGTTTGTCATGTAATAATAAAATATTTCATTGGTTTGTAGGGTTTATTTTCATATCACAACTGTAGCTCTCTGATCTATTAGTCCTAATAATAATGGCTAGTATATATTCTTATTTTATTGATATATATTGATAAAGGTTAGATAGATGATATAATAGCTAACCTGCATCTTATATCTTAGAGCATCTAGGATCTTAAAATGTTTAATTAGCTGAAAATGTATTTTTTTTTGTTGGAACATTTTAGAAACAAGGGAACGGTACGATGGATGGACATTATTTTTAACTGTAAGTCAACAATGACATTAAGCATGTTAAAATTATTATACACAATTTCTAAGAGCTAAACTATGCAATTGAGCCTTGAACTATCTTGGTGTTTGATGAACCCTTACTATCTTAATTGGTGTTGGATCGCGTCTAATTGATTGCGTGCGTAGTGACGCAGGAATCATGCACACTCGCTAACTAGGCTCCACACACCTAATTTCTCTACTTATACTAACTTGTTGACAAATTTGTCCCACTAAGTCTTAAGGCGTTTAATGTCGTAGAGGGCTATAGGCCTCATAAAATTGGAAAAAATCTGAGAAAAGAAACGACTGTATGAAGTAATTGCCACCAAATTCTCCCGCCATTGAAAGTCGTTCTCAGTATGTTAGTAAAATCGGTTAAATGGTGTTGAGATAGAATTACAAAATCTTTTGAAGAATCAGCAATAGAAGTTCATTTTGACCAAATTGATTGTATCGAATGGTATTTACAAAATTCACACTTCAAAATTCTGAGTCACAAGTTTGTGTTGAAAAGCAGGTAGTCGGAAAAGCAGCATATTTGCAGAACATAACAAGAATTGACCTTTGAAGACATCATTTTCGTAATTGATGATGACACTAAAACGCCATTATTTCAATGGAAGGTGAAATTCCTACTACAATGTAAATAATTGCGTACGCTAAAGCATAAATTATTTGCGGTAAAATTTTCCTCGAATAATTGATAATCAGTATCTTTTATCAGATCTCTTACACGGTGGAACAAATAAATCACATTCGCGCCTGTTGATCCATCACTATGCAGCGGCTCACGACACGGGAGGTTTGAGGAGGCTCTGCTGGGGAACAGCTGGGGAAGAGGGGTCCTGGAAGTCGTAGGTGACGTAGAAGGGCAAGAAGGTAGCGGGAGGGGCGGAAGCCTGCGTGTCTTCTGCAGCACCACCTTCAGAAGACGCTGGGACGCCACCGACGTCTTCCATCGCATCAGAGACCCAGGCTGCGGTGGCTTGCTGGTAGGTCGGTGGAGCTGCCCAGGCAAATGTTAATAGATATCTGAGAATTGAATACAGTGTGGAGCATGCCAGGCAAATGTTAATTGATATCTGAAAGATTTAATTCGGTGTGGAACATGCACAACAACCAGTGTTGTTGTGTTGTGTGGTTTTATTAACTTCTCAATGGGAAAATATTTACCGCTATTCCAACAAATATTCGGTAGGATATTTATTATAGTAATAAAATAAATCTTCAATGTTAATGTCACTTTACTTTAGATTTGAATCAGAAGTTCATAAGTAAGCAGAACGCCTCCAACAACTACCCAAGACCATGAATGCAGGTACGTTTAGTGGGATGTCCTCACTCACCCATGGGCAGGGGCAGTCCCAGGGGGAGCCCCTGTGAGGCTTCACTTCCCTCACATCCCCCAGGAAGGGGAGGCGGGGCTGCGGACAGTCCGGAGGCATCCGCTGGTTCAGTGGGCAATGACCCACTGACCGCTGTGGGTATGGTGCCGACCACTATGGGTAATTTCAGCTCCAGGTCTGAAGTTGCTCCTTTGAAACTCACGGAAAACTGGAATTTAAATAGAAAATAGAAACAGAATTAGCGAAAAAAAAACAAGGACATATCGTTGAATAACGACGAATACTCACGCATTAAACTATCCTCTAAAATCAAATACACTGATTAGTTCCTCAGGACCTTAAAAAAGACCAAGCGGTATTTGAAGAAGAAATTTTAGACAAATTTTGCTTGAAATTTTGTCAAATATTTGAAAGTCGATCATCAGTTAGATGAGAACCATATTCGTTCTAGCCGGTCAAGACCTTACCGTTCGCACGTCAACAAGAGTCGATCTGGGGCCATACTTTCAAAACTCGCTAAGTGAACGTAAGTACTTACGCTCTATTTTCTTGTCTATGATTGGTGGATTTTGCTTGAATGGCCGTCAATGATTGGCTGATGAACTCACGATCTCTTAACATTTTTTGAAAGTATAGGCCCAGCGATACATGCATGAAAGGTTCATGCTTAGCGTCTTACCTATTTTCACTTTGTGTTGGATATTACAATTATCACCACAACCTTTAGACACTAGTGGTACCTCGCAAAAACTGATAGTGTCCAATTTTTCAATATTTGACTGTACTACCGCCATATACCGGTGGTTTCGCAGCCTCTCTCCCCATATAAGAATAAATTATGTACCGACGTACGGTCCCGTCAAAACGGGGTAGAGGTTAAACCATGCCACATGAGATCGTATTCCTTCAAACTCACCCGTCATGCGCCCCCTAATCCTTCAATCCTCAACCTAAATGCCCAACCGAGACGTTAAAATAATCGTATACAACAAAAAATTTGACCTAGGTTCACCAACAGACTGATGAAAGATATTTCATGACACCTTCTTAGAATTAGACAGGTATATAGACATCCTCTCATCAGACTAACTGATACTATCACAATATTTACAAACGCATATCACCAAGTGCAACCACATACAACTGATACTACATATTGGACACTAATATGTAGTAGTGCTAATATGTAGTATATATACTACCAATATGTAAACACTAATATGTAGTTGTACCAAAATGTGAACAGTAATATGTATATCATTATATCTACTAATATGTAATATGTAGCAGTACTATAATGTAGACACTAATATGTAGTAGGACTAATATGTAGTATCGAAGCCATGGAAGTAAAGGGACATATTTAGCGTGGGGAGCATCAGTGAAGCGCTACTAATATTCGGTTTTGGGACGCATGAAAGAAATATTCTATTTTAGTTTATCTTTTATGCAAGAAATTAATTTTTTCCCAAATTTGGATAGAAACACGGTTTTAATTGATAAAGAATGTGGGTAGATGTAACATAGTTTTAACTGCATCAATTGTTTTCATGGGACAGAGTGAGAATTGACAGTTTATTTGTTCAGTTAATGGTCAAGTTGAGACAAGCAATACGAGGGAAAATATCGCTCTAAAAAGCAATAAGTATCTAAGCATCATTGAGAAGATGAACAATATCTGAAGATACCAATAGATGATAAACGATGTCGATGATGTTGCAGCCAGGCAGGGATGACGGAGGCAGCGGAGGAAGGCGGAGATGTTCGTTGCTCCAGTTGCATTCCGCAGCGGCGGCCGCCTGGGGCTTGACTATCTTGCCCAGCGCGACCATCTCGACGCGAGACCTGCCGACGGGCTTGTAGCACACCTCCTGACCGGGCAACAAGTCGCTAAGTAAAGGCAAGTACAATCACCATAGTCGTAAATATGCGAGAAAAAAATGATTGCAAGTACTAGCGCCATAGTCGTAAATATGCGAGAAAAAATGAATACAAGTACTAGCGCCATAGTCGTAAATA